TTGCTGTTCGCGAATATTCCTCTCCCTTAAGGGTGTCAGGCGACGAAGTATCATAGAAGTCAACACTTTGTGATTATCGGAACTAAACTAATCCCACGGCCTTTGGTGCAGTCGTTTCGTGCTCCCTTCTTGAAGATCTGGACGGTCAACGATTTACCCCAGGACAAATGGTATTCAAAGAATTACACACGTTTGACTCAAGGTCCTGGCGATTCATACAAGTGAAAACTCACTCTCTGGATCGTGTACAAGCTTCACCTAAGCACTGTTAAGTTTGCATGGCAGGCAGCATGGCTTTCGCCCGGCTCACTCTGGTTATTACGCCTGTATAATCTTATTTGAGCCTTGCGTGATTCACCACACCAAGTCCCGGAGCCTTGGTCACCGACTGCCATCAGTCAACAGCAGATCTGCGTGACTGTGATGTTTTTCCTTCTACTGCTCATCACACACATTGCTTCATTACGTTATGAATTACATCAGTTCAAAGATATTAGGAGGTTTGCTCGTTTTCGGTTTTATAACTTTTTCTATGCAATCAGATGTAGCATTTATCGTTCTATTCGTGCGTTTATCTTGTCCCACCATGGATTCCTCATAGTTGATAAGCGTTGAAATCATGATAATAAGCTAAGCGTTCTGTAACACTACCAGCTGACCGTTTCTATCATAATTGTGCGAGATCCATCTTTGAACAGCTCCTACTGTAGACGAAGTAAAAATAGTTTTTTTCCTGGGACTTTTCCGATACAGCAAAATGCATCTCGACGTCTGCCCCCTTAAATTTTTAGCTAGATCATTCTGGTGTTACTCAACAAAAACTTCACGAGCAAGCCATTTTGTTGCGTTTCTTTACACTACTCACATTTAGTCGACAAAATCAACGTGAGAAGTCGCTGTCGTTATCCACTCCCTACCAAATGGAATTTTAACTCATCTCATAGATGCTTCAGTGATCGGTTTCGCTTATACTTGCAAAGGTACAGTTGTAAATGAAATTGTAAATTCGCCCAAGAACAACACTACTGTCAAGTGGAAAGTTTGTTCTCTTGTTATCAATACTTTTACTACTCTCTCCACACGGTTTGCCTAGCCCAAGTCCTCTCATCTCCCATCAAAAGTTATTCGCTCAAACTGTCTGTCTGGTGAATGCGCGCACGTGTGTGTGTGATAAAGTCTACTGACCACCTACGAAGCGATAGGACCTCGGGTTTTCCTCTTCTCAATTCCGAGAAAAGGACTTAACATGAGAGTTGGGTGTGGTCCGTCATTTTTATGTACGCTCGCCGGAAGAAGACGCGCTCATGCGCGAATCAGAGGAACAGTATAGTTTGTGTGTGTATGTGTGTGTACGAATGCAACGATATATGTTCTGGTCAACCTGTTTTAGTAGGCTTGTCTTGTGCATTGTCTCCCGTACAGCTGATCCTATCTATCCTCGGCCAAATTATTGCCTCAGACAAATCCCTCAAGCTCATATTGATTTTACTCTTTGATGACATATCAGGTTCGAATAAAGGTCTAATTTACTATTTTTTCGTAATCGTTTGATTCGCGCTAACAACTATTCGATTTCCCTGTCCTTCAATTTTTTTCCGAAAGCTTTCCTTCTTTCTTCGATGACTTTTCAAAATCCCAACCACTTTGGACACAGTCATCAACGGTTCTTTCTGTCGGTTTTCCGTATTCGTTACTCTGTTCGTTTGTTTCATCACATACGGCCAGAGTCTGACATCTGATTGCGTTTGTTTACGATTTAGGTAGCAGATAATCTGAAATGATTATCAGCTAGGAAGTTAGTTTGAATTGCGGCATTTCCAAAACTTTTTAGCTACCCGGTTTCTTTCAGCCCTGTCAAAATCCATTCGGATTGCAGATCCAGCGCGCATTTTACACTCCTAACCCAAACGTGTATGGATATCTCACGCGAAAGGTTCTCACTGGTTCTTACCCGACCCAGTTCCGACGTCTAATTGCACATAACCATTGACTTCGGGCAATGTGTGGAATAGTTGCACTGTCGGATGTATCGTGTAAACCGTGTGTAGCTATTCAGTGTGCTTACAAACAGTCGCTTTCCACTCTATATGCTGTTTCTCACGTTGTTCACTCCGTTTCATCCTTATCGGACAAAGGGGTCTGATATCGTCCGTTTAATTTTTCTTGATTATGCTCATGCATTCAGACCACTTGACCGCGGTATTCTCCTCATTCAACGTATTTTGGGTTGTGATCTGGCACTTGATTTGGTGAATGTAATAATCAACTACTTCACTCATAGAACGCGATTCACTTTTTGTAACGGTAGATCTTCCTCCCTGCTAGAAGTTAACTCTGGGATTTTGCAGGATGTTATTTGATTCCCATTTCTTTTTTCACTGTACATTAAGGACCTCCTCATCCCTCCCAACGTTATTGCGTGCAAGTATGCTGATTACGTAGTAATCGATTGTCCGTCGACTGATCCTGACTGTTTCTGTCAACTTAAAGATTGGATAAATAGAATTTTTAGTTGGTCGACACCCCGATCTTTATTGCTCAATGTACATAAATGTCTAGATGTTTCTTTTGGAATTAAAGCAGACATGCCTTATCAAACCCTTTTGAATAGTCAGTTTGAACTTCCCCACAGCTAATTCTGTGAAATATCTTAGAGTTACTCTGTCACATAATCTTTCTTGATCCGAACATTTTGAAAACATTTATGTTAGGGTTCGTGAGCTGTCCTTCTACGCTTCTAGGCTTAACACTTCTCGGCGTTCCTCTAAATGTAATTCTTAAATTTGTGACTGTATACATTTTTCCTGGTCCAAAGGAGAAAACCCTTATTCTCTTTTCTAGATCTCTTAAACTTCTTTCTCGTTGCAGTGACATTTCGAAGACCGTTTTGGTTGATTATCCTGTGAGCAGGCATTTTGATTGATGCAACAGATTTATCAACCATATAGTATCAAATGAAGAACACTGCCTGCATGCCCATCTCAACAAATCGGTGTCTCATCCGAGTACGCGTTCAGAATCTAGGTATCCTTGTACACGCAGCGCCACATATAACAACAGCGTCATCCCTTATTTTGCTCGTATCTTAGTCAACGGAGCGATTAATATTACTGACTTGAAAAATCATTTGCATATTATACTTTTATCACATCCATTTGTTTTTCATTTAGTAAATGTATACTTTTATTTTTCCAATGGTTAACGTGCATAAAGCTCAACTTGACTTGATTTGACTTTAATATCCGCAAGAGTATGTGGCTTGATGACTCAATGCAATGTCGTAGGACAACGCTGGCAAGGAAGTCTGAGCACATAATATCTCCACCACCACTAATCTTCTTTATCTCTCTTGAGGTACACTTGAGAAGTATGCACGCTGTAGACCAGGAAGTGTTCCTGTGATGATCGGCATCCGCAGTGTTTACGCCATAATTCTGTGTCAATCATTTAATCTCTACTCCACAAATTTTCTTCATTTGTAATGGTCACTTTTGCTTCCCATCTGTCGTCCACTTTTTGCCTAGCTTGGTTGAAGTGTGTGCACAATGGCAAATTGCAAATTTTCATCATTTTTTCATCACAAACCTCCGTGTTCCCCAAGCATACGACCACGACAAATGTGTCCTCTGAGGCCATTAGCCATAACCCCCATTCTTGTCTTCTCTAATCAAACAAACAAAAACCGTTCAACGTAGTTACCAAACTTGGATACTTCATGGGGTAAATTCAGTAAGAAATCTTTTCCTTTTTAATCGAACTTTGTATCCGGATTAGTCGATGCAGCCACTGTGTCCTCTCNNCTCCCCCCTCCCGCTGATTCGATGCCCTTGTCGATACAACGGCCCTGCCTGTGTTTGTATGTGCTTGCACGCTTGTGTTTGCAATTGTCTGTCTGTCTGTCTGTCTGTCTGTGCTTGCCGCGTGGCGCCACAGAAATGCCACTGCGGCATGGGTGGTTTCTGATCGCAGCAGGCCCACGGAACCCATATCGGTGCAGAATGCAACGGTTGGTGTCTCGCTCATCTGCCGTAATCTGTCAAGCCCTGTGTCACTCACCAAGGCGATTGTCATTTCCCGAGGACAATAGGTGGTGCTACCTTGTATCGACCCGATCATTCATCCGCAAATCCGCTCTCTCTCTCTTTAATGCGGGCTCGGTGCATTTCACATTTCGGCAACCCGTTATTCCTCAGGGAGCCATATCGGTACCTGATTTTCTCCGATCGACTAGCATGACAGGTTATTTGTGGTCTGGCATGTTTCTCCATTATCTTGAGCTTTCCCGATAGACTGATTTTTTTCTCGATTGTCATTCAGCGATTTAGGAATTCTAGTTCCACGGTATCATTCTGCCGTTGTTTACCGTTTTCAACAAAAAATATAACTCTTGGTTGTTCTTCAGAGCCAGTCATTTCTTCCCTTCCATACATCTCACACTTCACAGTGCTCAGGTTGTTTCTGCGCTTGAATCCCGCAACATTCATGCATGGTGACAGGCAGCTTTGCTGTCGCGCGGTTCAATACCATGCCTAACCTATCGGGGTCTTACGTGGTTCGCCACTCCAAGTCCCAGGGCTTAGGTTACCGGTTTCCATCACTGAACAGTAGGTCCTCGTGATTATGGGGTCTGCCCCGGCTGTTGTTCATCACTCGAAAGTATGTAAAAAAAATGGTACAAAGCTTCTTCCACTTCTCTATCTCCTTGATCTGGTTCGACGTAAGACTATTTGCCTGATCACCGACCTATCGCTTGCATGGAACTTACTCGCTGTTTGGCAATCCCTTTCTGCATCTGTCAATGAATCCGGCCAAGGGCAAGCCCGACAAAGATACCAGGCCCTTGTAGGCCATAATTCAACGGTCTGTTCGCATCTTTCATAACTGAATTCACGAATTCGCTTCGGGGTGTCTTGTTCATTATTGAATGTCGTAAGGAGTGCTGATTGCTTGCTCCTCATGCGCTCACCAAACATACTACCCACGTATGTAGTCTGAGTGGTATCTCAATACACTGGTACCAGATAATTACTTTCCCCCTGATAGCTGCCTTTTTATGATTCACAAAATTTTTATCTTGGAACACAACCAGTGTTTGGTTCCGTGTTTAGTCAGCCTCTACTCATCGGTTTCAAAACTGGTATCTATCTGTTTTTGACCGAGGATTGCAAAAGCACGTCTTAGAAGCCAATCCTTTCCTTAAGCCGTGTTAAAATTTCAATGGTAAAGAAGGGTTGAATCAACTAGTGCAATGTGTCGTTACTTCGATCACCCATAACCTATTGACGGTCACCAACATAGGGGAGGTTGATTGGCTGTGTTACTTATTCAGACGGATTGATGAACCGTTCAATGACTGGTTTCCTTTATGAGTGAGTTGCACATGAACCCCCCACCTTCCGAAAGCTTCAGCTTGCAAATTTGTGACCCAGTAGGAGCTGACTGTGTCGACAAAAACCACGAGCAAAGACTGAACGATGACTGGGGATTTCACGGCCCTGTTCTAGGGCTAAATGAAGTTTTCCATTTGTGCTGTAATCCTCCCTATTTTGTAATAGGAGCTCAGACAAACTGTTTGTATGCCATTCCCTATCCGTTGCTTATTATTTTTCCTGTTGACAACCGACTGAGTTCATTTATATAGGTATATTACTTTCAGCTCTTTTTTTATCCAATGTACTTCTCTCACATACACAGGTAAAAGCACCTTAAGATGCACATTGAATTGTCGGTCATCTCTTACTGACAAAAGTGTCAGTCTGTTTCGTACTATAGATTTCATTAGACGATGCAATCAATTTACGGAAGCGGTAGACTCCAGTTTTCATTTATGGAGACCAGGAATAATCAATCGTATATCAGATCGCCGATAAGATAGACTTGGTAATGCACCGAGTAATTGCAACGCTGTCTACGCTTATCCGAGCAAAATGCAATTCCCATTCGGACATGTCTTTCTGTGGCTGGTATGAGAAATCACGCCAACCAGTACGGTTCACTTTGTTAATTGCAAAATTTCACCCTATCCTGTCGAACTCAGTGAATACCGATTCCATAGTTAGGTTACAATCAATCTCGACTTCAAGATAGACTATAGCTATTCACATTTAAGGCTGTTTTTTGCCGTTAGAGCTGTGTGTGCTTACACGGACGCGTCTTCTCAAGACAACTAATTGTAAAGTTAATTGAGAAGTTTTCATTTATTTTTATCTTTAAATGAGTCTGATTCCAGCGAAATTGTTTCGGTTTTCTTTACTTTTCAACAGTACTCGTTTACGACCATTTTCATACAACAGATTCTGCGTGAACTGTGTCTGTGTATACTGTTCGGCAAACAACCCCTGGTCCTCATTACTCATTTCGCCTTTCTCCCTGTTTGGATAGGTACCATGCATCTCGTGCAAGTGGGTCCGGATGATGAAGGTTGGTATCGATGCATGAATGGAAATGTCACCTCGAGGGTATTTGTTCGTGTCAAACGTGAGTCCTATCATCCCTTCCACCTCCCTTTCCCGCTCACCATATTCCCTTTGATGGCATGGGCGCATCTTACATTGTGGTGGTCTCATTTTCCATTCATTGTTGCGAAACCGCTAGTGTTTTCGGCTTCAGTTGTGATAGAATACTCGCGAGAGTGAGATGAAATGAACTCTACTATCCTCGATAATGATTTGTGTACCGACGGGTGCCTTTGGTCACTACAGAAACACTGGTGTGTGTTGAAAACGAACATCGCTGGGTTCATTCGTTTCTCAACGCATGCACAGAACAGAAACCGGATCCCGTTGTCACGCAGACCTTTTCCACATTTGGAAACATCAGAAATTTTGGCTCCATGAAAAGAAACCGATCGAACGCAATAGAAACCGGACAACTATTGAGTTGAACGGCATTAAATTGAAGATTTAGTGGTGGGATTCATTGATTGACCTCAGGTTTGCAATAATGTAAATCATTCGATTGGAGCCGTCATTTTGGGACCTGATCTAATGACCTATACGCGACATCTCCAGTCGCGTTTTGTACCGGTCTATACAGTTAATAGTCAAACCGTGATTCCGTCTTCATCCGCTAAGAGATCTATGCGGCAATTGCGTATGATTTTCTCAACAGGAGATGCTTTCTTAGCGCTTGTCCTGTTCGATTGCACCAGTTAGTGTCACAATTCCGCAAATGATCATGGGAGTTTTCATGTCCACTATTTTACCGCATATGGGAAATAGTCATGGATTTAAGAAATAGTGGCCAACTCGCAACAGCGAGAATTCCTCGTGTTTCCTTTACAAACAACTATTCTCTGCTGATGGTTATTTCGACTGCCCAGACAGGCCATGGGGAGTCTCAGGCGAGGATTACAAGGACTGTCCCAAACCCTGATCAGCCTTTTCTAGTTGAGCTTGCGTCTCGAGTCTTTGCACAGCCAAGCGAGCACACACGGTTGTTCTGGAGAAAACGGATAACTGGTAGTTTGCTTTTTTACTGGCCCATGGAGCACTGTGTTGAGTAAATGGAACCGGTCAAGGGACGATAGTCGTATTAGCGGTGGGTATTATTCGCTGCGTCACAGTTCTCTATTGAAGGTACGTGATCAGCGAAAATCTTTGCGGCCCTTGGGCACTGCCGGCGCTCGTTCATCACCGCTTGTTAATAGACAGAGGCTTTCTTGTTGGGGGACCTCTAGATCACTCTCATCAATGGTTACAGATATCAGACGATATGGTTAAGTTGTGACACGAAATCGGAGTTGGATAACCATGACGCTGATGTTGCTGTTACTCGTTATTCCGGGTCGTAGGTTTTCCTTTGAACCAGTTTCTTAGAAACAGTCCGTCTTGTCTCTTCTGTTTTATATCGCATGGCGGCTAATGACAAACTCGATCATGTTTTCATTCGGTGATTTGTGTCAATGAGACGGTCAAACGCGCCTTTTCCAGATGTTTGAGTTCACCAGCTAGGATTACTCTCACTGTTTATGTCTCTCGCTCGCGGTCCCCGTTTCGATCACATCTACGTATAGTTTCTGTGTTCTAACCATGTCATTTAGTTTACTATAATTTTTTCTCTTACTTACCAGTGCTCTGATTGTCCACATTTACCACCTAGAATGGCATTGATCGACCGATTTTTTCCCATCTAAGCTTATCTTATCCTAAACGAATTCCTTACGTAAAAATCTCTTGTGCAGTTCACCATTAGCGATAGTTAAATACATATATAGTGTGTGTTACACTGAGCTGCACGCATTCTGACTGGAGGTTATGCGCTGTGTTCATGGCACAACCGTGCATTAATTGCTTCCCTTTTGGAGGGGTAGAGTTTTTTTTT